TTACCTAATAAGAAAACGATTAAATGTGCAGTTTTTTCTATAATATTTTATTGTTAATTAGATTATTTGTGTACTCATAAGTTACATTGTATGTAACATGATGGAAAACGGACGTTTCTTAACCAGGAGGCCAGTGCATTTGACGACCACCGAGGACGTGTAGATGCAAGTGATACACCGATTGTGCCCCGTTTTTACCGTCGTTGATGACTAAACGAAAACCGTTATCGAGACCCTGTTGTTTCGCGACTTTTCGAGCAACAATCATTAAATGACCCAATAAGGCTTCGTCCTCATCCTCTGCTTTCGAGAGTTGCTCAATTGGTTTTCGTGGAATCACCAGAAAATGCACCGGTGCTTGGGCGTTAATGTCACTAAATGCAACGCACTAGCACAATAAAAACATCTTTTAATAGTATAATCCTAACTAAGACATAAATTACGTTATGCTATATGCTTTAAATGAGTTTAATCGCTCTTACAAGGAAAACTTAACTGATCAATGGATTTTGACTTAATATATCAAAGATATATTGACACTTCTGACTTTCTGTTCAAGCGCAGGATTAGATTTGGCATTTTAAACTTCAAATACTTATACTTCTGAACAAAATTTTATGAAATTATTCTATGTTAGAGAAAATGCAGTGGAAGAAACAGAGTATAATAGTTTTGAAATCAGAATCAATTGATCAGTGGAGAAGGTTCCCTTCTTAACGTACAATATTTATGAAAAATGTTTTCAGTATTGTTAAAAAAAGACATCTACAACCGAGTATCAGAACTGGAATTTTTTTTACTACTGAATATCGCTATTTAACATTGAATAATACGTAATGTGCGATAAGTAATAAACCTGTAAATAACCTTTAGACTCTTACAGTGGAAATAGAATCTCTAAGTATCTTAACACGATTATTTTTCGATCATTCCATTTCATTTACCTTGTCATCTTCATAAATGAAAGTACATGGTATTTCTTTGCGAAGTATTTTCCCAAAAATAGTATCTCCCCCGGCAACTGCAGTTTGAGCCTTATCCACTTCGGTCGCCATTTTTCTCCAGCATGGAGCGTGATTTCGTAGATTGACGTTCAAATACGACGATCGTTTAAATGAAGTTAGTGCAAAACGTAAAAAATGCCTCATTTTATAAGCTAGTGCGCGAATAGTTTAGTAGATTATGAAATAGCCAAGTTACTATTCTAAATTAATTGAGTTGTACGCTAAGAGTGCAATGTACAGATCGCCATATTACAGACACTGTACGGTGGGAGAATCAAATACTATGAGTGGTATGTGGGTAACAATAATTTACAACATTCTTGGATTTCTCGTCGTTTATTTATTTTTTTTTTATATATAAAACTATAAAATCTTTATTCTGTTGTCTGTGTACAGTCTTTCCAAAGGTTCTTCACACTTTTTACAAACTGCGCAATTAGGTATATATAAATATTATTCGTGGAGTCAAGGTTTATACACATAGTGAACATAAAATACAATATTAACTATTAATTTTTTGCTTTACTTGTATATGGCAGTGTACTTTCTGGTTTCTCGCGGTAGATCCTATGTCTTGCGAATGAATCTAACGGGTCAATAGGCCCCAGTCTTACAAGAATAATGCTATTTAATAATACGCTTATACAATTTTAAGTTTAATTAGATAGAAGGCATAGCGTTCGAGCAACTTTCAAAGGCACACCTATTTAATTGTTGTATGAAATTATATTTGGTGCGCATTCATCAATCTTATCTGTGTTTGACACAAAATATTTCCTATGAGTGGTTTCCGAGGTACTATTGCATAAACAAAACTGAGGATACTGTAGGATTCAAAGATGATAAAAAAACAAAAATAATTATAATATTTGAAAAATTATCCAAACAAACAACATACCAAAATCATTATCATTAGAGAATCGTTATACGTATACCCAGATATATAGTGATTGCGTACTATTAAGTGACGACAACCCATCAAACTAATGCAACAGTCGTATGAATTAAATATGATGACTGTTTCATAAAGTATACTTAACTTATTTTTCAATTATAATTTTTAAATGAGAAAAGAATATTCATAAGGCATGCATGGTTACAAAGATTCAAATTGTATCATAACAAACTATAATATTCGCTTAAAAAAAAATTCTGACATGTACTTAAAAATAATACGTACTTTTGGATACCGTAATGTCAGTCTGCATTTAAAGAAATGATTAAAAAGGCTCAAAAATACTCACAAAGAAAAATCATCACGATTCATCCTCAGTGAAATACCGATGTCTTAGAGCCCGAGCTGCTGTTAATCGTTTATGAGGGTCAAAAGTAAGCATGTTTTTAATTAAATCTAGGCCCTGTTCATTGAGATCAGGTATTATTGCCGCCAGAGGTTTTGGTTGTCTATAAGGAAATGCAGCGTAACTAAGGGATACGCTCTCGGGCCAGTCCTCTTGTGACGGAGTTCCAATAATTCTGTAAGCAAATTGAAACGCATTTTAATTCGAGCTATTCCGTTCTATAAAATACGAACGTTGCACGCCTCTGAAAAACTTACTGGAAAATCCTGTCGAGTTGATCACCTTCGCTCGTACCCGGGAATAGCGGTTCTAGTCTGTTCAATTCGGCCAATACACATCCTACGGACCAAATATCGATGGGTGTTGCGTAAGAGCAGCCCAAAAGTACTTCTGGAGAGCGATACCATTGCGTCACGACCTGTACACAATATTAACATCAATATCAGCATTATAAAAAGAATTATCATTAACGATTCGTTAAAATTATCAATTTACCACAGAAGTCAATCTCATTTCAAAATCATATGTCTTTGCCAAACCAAAATCTGCTATCTTTATCATTCCTTCTTTAGACACCAGTATATTTTGAGGTTTCAAGTCTCTGTGTATGATCCTGTGACTATGTAAAAATTCAACGCCTCTAACAATCTCTTTCGACATCTGCTTCACCAGATGCGGCGATATGCCCGTCTCTCGGCAAGAAGCTATATATGTTTCCAAATCCTGTTCGACATGTTCGAATACCAGCCACAACGTTAGCCCACGGGGTATTGTGTTCAACGCTTCATCATCAGGAGAAAAATGTAGGTAATTCCCTTGACAAACATCTAGTAGTCTGACCTGCGTGCATAACGAGGAATATGAATGTAAATGCGAAAATAAGCGCTACAATGGAAACCTACGATGTGCGGATGCTCGAATCTTTCGAGTTGTTTCAAGGTAGCGATTTCTCTTAGCGTAGATGTGGGGAGACCATTAGGTGTTAGAGGAAGTCTGACTTTCTTCAATGCCACCACGTGTCCTGTATTCTTGTCTTTGGCGCTATAGACAGTACCGTAAGCGCCGTTACCGATCAAAGACAAATGCTGATACACTGCATCCTCGCCGAGCAATGAAGCCTCAATGTGTAAATCATGTTCCGACTCGGCCATGCTGATAGTACGAATAGGAAATTCCTCCCGGCCGCTGAATCCCATTTGCACGATCGTTTCGAAGCTACCGAATTGTTCTTCTCTCGAAGAACTAGGCATCAATTTCGATGGCCCATCCAAACTAGATTGGATCAACTGCTTCGTACTATTCAATGCGTCTTCGCTGATGCGGAGCGCCTTTATCTTGGACGCATTACCGGATATCAGTCCTATCGCGTTCTCAGCTAACGAGGCTGCCAACGAGCTCGCTAACTTTTCGACGCACTCTAGTTCCTCCTTGCTTAGATCATGCTCACCCTTTGATGTGCCTTCGCTGGACACACCGAAAAATCTCGATTTCTTCGGAGGTGTCGGGGACAGATCAGGTCCGACCTCTGAGCTTGAACGTCGCGATGTTCCAGCCATTACAACATATCGGATTTTACCTGAAACCAATAAAACACCGATGCTAATTTTTGCATGGAAACATTTTCCCAAGAAGAATCATATGTTTGACTTTTTCCTCTTAATTCATTTGTGTAATTTACGTTGCAGGATGCAGTACATATAATTTAATTTCCAGATTAATATACGCTAACAATAAGTGGACGTCAGTATACAAATACACATTAAGATGTATTACGGCTATTTATTTGAATATATGCGAGACAGAGAATTTCTTTTTAAACATCTCAAGCGAGCTACTTGATTTTTCATTCAATTGGGATGCTCTAACTTTAGTTCCAGGTAGTACAATAAAACCCTCCCAGAAACGTTCCTCCCGAATAATAATTAACTAGAAGCGCAAAACTCAATTTACTGATATATTTATAGAGACACTTGCGGTAGTATTCGAAGCGGCAAGTATTCGTGTTTCATTAAAATTTCCCTGTACTGTGCAATCGTGTTGCACCGTCTGTTACGCGACATCTGCACCGACACCTGCGTACGTTTGTATAATGGCCTCCGGCTTATAGTCACCTTTCTGGAACATCTTGTAAATATACGAAAGGCCTATCTTATAGCCATGTTTTTTCTCGGGGTGTCAGTGATCGTAATCGACCAGCCGAAAATTCTGTTACCCGGGTCTCTCAACGAGGTACATACTTCTATATATGAATATAACATTGTAGCAACAATGGTTTACTTATTTAGTAGATAAAACAGAAAGTAATGTTAATTTTGTAAAAAGGTGTCGTAATCGTAGATTTAAATGTATTGCAATATATTAATTTGTGAAAACGTAAAAGGAAGCGATTTTACTGTATGTAGAACACTATGTACACCGTAGTTAAACATCAGGCTAACAAAATTGAATGAAGAAGGCGTGTGAGATAGTACCGGGTTACGTGGACTGATACGAAGACCTACTTTTCCGAACACGCGCGATAAAATAAGAAAATTCGAATAGTAGCTTGAGGACCATGAGACGCCGACATCTTGCTCGTGATGTAATGTTTGTCTGTATACTCAGATTTAATATTGCAGCAAAGCATATGGCGTTATCTCCACGTATGCTCGTTATCGCCGAAATTTTTTTGCCAGTAGAACGAGCTTTATCGCAAGAAATCTGTCATGAATGAGGTGGTAATTTATTCAACGACGACTGTCCCTTTCCGCTGACGATGCGACGCTTTTAAAAGATGTCAACGCGACTCTATAAATACCAATGGAATATCATCGTCGCGAAGGAAGCTCCGCAGACGACTTTATTCGACTCTTTGATTAAATTTTTTTATCAACTTCCTTTCGTAATTAGTTAGTGTGAAAAAAATGAACGGGAACGTTACGTCAGTTAAATCTTAAATCGTTAAACGAAACAGCAGGGCCTTCTAAAAGTCATTTACATGTCTGAGACGTCGGTGGTCCTCATGTCCATAAATAAAAAGAAAATCTGAAAAAATAACATCTATCATATAAGTTTGTCTATGTAACATTATCCTAAAACCACCTCCGCGACCCTATTGTGTTACATTTTGGAAAAATTTTCCACAAAAATAGGTACACGAATCTGATTGTAGAAACTGAGAAACTTCTCCCTCGTATCTTGTCACGAACCAAGAACCCAGACATTGGAATGTGAACGGGACAAACTTTTTCTCGAGAATTGAAAAAAGACGAATTATAAGACGATGTTAGCGGTCAACAAAAGAAAACCTCATCCAGCTCGATGGTAGATAACAGACGAAACACGTCGCATGAAATTCAAAGGATCTAGGAAAGTAAATAGCAACGCATATCAAATTTTCTATTATCTCGTGAGCCCGAAGAGGACAAGCACATAGTTATTAATATGCTAGAACACGAGATTCAGTTTGTCGGTAAATCGAAGATGGCACGTCGAATTGCCCAATATGTTCTGTATCCTCTACACTCTTACACGTGTTACGTTGCTTGCGTAGAATGTAGTTGCGTAAGACTTGGTAAATCGGATGAATCGCGGTTTTCAAATTGATGTTAAACCGCTAAAGAGACCGCTATCAAATGTACTTACGTGTAAACGAATTGAACTGATGAGATTTTAAGTTTATAATAATCTTGATGCAATGTTATTTCAAAAATATCTGTGGTTCCACGGGCGATCGATGATTTGAAAATTAGATATAGATTAGGTGCCGATATTAGGTAGAAATACTCCGAACTTTTGAGACAGGAAACGACATATAGACGAATAAGATAAACGTAGAGACGCCAATGCGTTTATTCATGGGGTTGACACTATAAGCTTTCAAACAACGAATACATACTCATCCCTTGCATTCATTACCATTTCCAGACAACACAGTTAAAGACTGAAAAAAAAAACGCGCGCGTGTGTATCAAGCTTGTAGTGGTATGTATAAGAATTACGCAGCGCTACTATCAATTTGATGGAGTTTACGATTCGACCCGAGATGAATGAGTTGGAATCGTGGAGTGTTCGAGGAAAATCGTAACGCGTAAAATCATCGGAAGCTGGATTTGTCTTTTTGCTATGAATCATTGACTATCCCTAACATGCATAGCGTTTCAGGTGTTTGAAAGACCCCACGTCCGAGACGTACTTAAATGAACGAAATTCGTTCGCGTTCGATTTCCTAGCAACGTCCAGTATATAGTGTATGTATGTACATGTAAGAAAGATCAGCATTTCGAAGTTATGGTTTTTAAAAACGTATCGACGAAATTCTGTCATTTCTGTTCGAATTCTAGAAACTTGAGAAGCACAACCACATGGTTGATGATGACGTTCCCTATGCATGCAGTTCGTAAACATGGGAAGTGCGAGGGGATCCACCCCCACATCGGTAAGTGGTTGACTCTTGTCTTATCTTCACGCGTTGCGACGCGACATTCCACGTTCTCACGTTCCACAGATACGCAACCATAACGTAACGGTCATCCTCACGATAAAAAATCCTAAGCAAATTAAAGAGATCGTACCAAGAGCAACGGAATCAAAGCGAACCGATTTATTCGGTCGACCGTATTCGAACAAAGGTCGAGTTAAACTTTCACCGAAAACCATTTCCGCAACGTAACTGCCGTCCGGTTTTTTTTTTAGCTCCGAATAGCGGCAAGAAAAACGAGCAACAAGTGTTGCGTCCTTCGATTCTTTGCCATCGAAAATCAAAAGCAGCAAGTTACATTCGCAGCTGCTCCTATCAAGTGTTAGGTGTATCCTTTCCATAAAGATATATTCGAAAAGGTGTATTGTCTGCGTGGCTGAGAAAGCATGGTTTCTTTACTTACTCATCGATTAGGTGCTGACCTCCCACGAGAGAAGCTTGGAGCGACGGGACCAATGAAAAACAGAGTCCGATTCCACGTGCCGGAAATGGGTATTAACAAATCTGCCCACTCTCCTCCCTCTTTGTTCCTTATATCCCTACGAGAGACGGACGCACGATTGAGTGCTAGCTTGCATACTAACAATAAGAAACACGAGCAACAAGCAGGATGGACGGAGAAACACGCTCCGATTGTCGCAGACAAGTCCCGACTAAAGTACTCCCGTGAGCGTAACCCAACGGTGGCTCGACGAATCGTCGCGTCGAACAGTCAAGCGACCGTACCACTCCGAAACTCGATGGTAAGTCGACGTCAACTGTACTGTGGACCGACCTCAAAAGTACTGACACAACCGGCGAACACACATATGACTGTGGCACAGACAGAGAAGTCGGTCGCTGTCGAGGCCAAGCCCTCAAGGAAACATGCCCGTCTCTTCTTTTGGGGGGACTTCGATGGAGCCTCGTTTTACATCGACCGCCATCGCCACCGACAGCTGCCACTATAGCTCTTCCAACACGCTCCGCCATCACGATTGGCTTATCCGTATGCACACAAAGAAAGGGAGGCTATGGCTATATGGTGCTCACGAGTGAGACACGACGCGTAGCATCGCATCGCACCCGTGCTGCACCGGCTACTATATATGTATAGGACGCCCAGATGCAAGTCCGAAAGCCTGCGAATGAACCACTGACAGGATTCGTTGCTACCTTAGAGTTTATATGAACCCCACGAAACGATGACAGGTCTATAACTATACACATATTCCACGAAACGAATTACGCTTCAACGTAATTTCTGTGTTTTAAAGGAACAGTCTGATTCATGTTAAATAGCTACTGATTCATTCAAAATTAAATCTCTGAAATCAACTTGGTTTTTCTGGAATTCGTCATTACTCAGCTACTATTAAGCATTCGAAACTGTTTTAACACAGGAAAGAAACATGAAACCGTAAGAAAGCTGATGAGAACGATTTTCTTAGGAAGACTGTAAAAATTACCCGATGTTCCTTGTTTGAGCTGGCCGTACTTCCCTCGCAGCGAGTCTCGGTAAAGGACCGCGGGAGGAGGAAAGAAAGAGAAAATGACAATAGAACGCGATAAGAAAAAGTGAGATCGCAGAGTGAACGAGAAAGTGGGTGGATGAAAGAGAAACAGAGAGAGAGAGGGCTGAACCCTGAGAACTCACAAAATCACAACCTCAGCGTCTAACACGAGACCCTACTCAAAACTACGTTTACCACGGTATTCAGGAACATAAGTGATCATTCCATATTCCTCTTACAAATAATAAAATTTTCGACAAACAGCTTCCAGTGTCGCTTTCCAACGCACTCCAAATAATAGGATAGAAAAAAACGCACCTTGTACGAACGTTCCTACAATCCTGTCGTTTTCTAGTCAAAAATCAGATTGACCTCGGTGAACTCGTATGCAATAGCACCACGTGGTTAAAAATTCTCAAGTTTTGTCGTCAATCGTCAACGCGAGCGCGTATCGTCAGGTCGTTGTTCCTGACGGTGGCGCCAGACTAGACTTCGCGAAGAGTCCAATCCCGGTTATCCAGCTCTGTCTCTCTCTTGCTTTCCGATCAGCGTCCGCTGCGCGTCCCGAAACATGAATGGAATGCTTCCTCCGGCGGCCGATGTACGCGACGAGAGACGACGCCAAATGGAATGGGCCGGGAGACTCTCCAATCCAGGGACGGACCATTGTGTACCTTCCTTAGGGCGAACTTCATGGTCATTCCACGAGCCTTTCTAAGCGACCCTTTTTTGTACGCTCGAAGGCTCGAATTTCCGGAATGGAAGAACACGCAGCGTTGTCCGTCGATGCCACGAATAATACATATACGGTATACGTGATTTGAAAGGAAAAGTAGTTTTGGAAAGGAAAGCACATCTTCTGAAAATGTACTCCGTTATGTATTCTGTTTAGTTGGATGAGCGGTTCGAAAGGTTTTACTTTTACTTGTGTAGTTTATTTATATCCTCAGGTCTCGTACATCATTTCAACTCGTTAATTTCCATTGGTTCTATGAAGTCGTTTACAGATATAGCGAACTCTGTTCAGGTGCATCGTGCTTCAGGCGAAGGCATTTTTTTCTTAAATAGGAGATGCTCGGCACCGCGATTAAACGAGACGTCACTGGTGGCGGGATAAAGAGGGGGAGAGAAAGAAAATCATTTCGCGCATCTGTGTGTAACTAACAATAAGACCATTTGGTTTATTGTAGAACGATTACAAGTATTTTCATGCGCGTCATTATATGTATAGTTATTCAAGCGGTTTGCACGAACTTATCTCAGGCAGCGATGAAAGGTAGCAGTTTTCTTCAAACGTGATTGCATAGGGTATCACCTACCTTGCAGTGAATCAATGCCTGCTCATCATTCCAACAATCGCCTCCGATCGGAATCCGTGCACGTTGGCGAGCGCGTGACTAATTAGGGAAGTGCATGTAGGTAAAAATCATTTTTCCTGGGACCTGCCATCCTCACAGAAAAGATTAGCAACGCTGCTACCTCGCCGTTCGAGTATTTCAGTAAAAACGGTTCGACTTGAAAAATGGCAGGGTTTACGGATATGACTGTTAACGCGGACACCGAACAATTCGCAGCCTTAGAGATATTTCGTGAAAGGAAATACGAGGACGTTCGAAATGGAGGGGATTCGAGTTCCGTTATATACCATGTAACTATATAGAATTCGATGTACCGCCGAGTCGACCATTGTTTCGTCTTACGGATAAAAACTAAAATGTCATAACTATTCGAGGGAAACGCATGATCTTTTTCCGGGAAGACCGAAAAACCGGTTCGCTGAACGCACTTCATGTATTTTTTCAAGAAGCTAAAAATTACCTAGCACAAACCGAGAACACGTTTGAAGACGTATAGAAGATGGAAGAATGGATTAAAATATATAAAATAGATTAAAATATATAGTATAAAATAGATACAATTACTGGTTTCTTTATCGTTTCTAAAATTTAGTTCCAACTAGCTAGATACCGTATACGCATCTGGCCAAGTTCCCAAAGAGATCTGTGTACTATATTTTCCAGGCAAATACAGAGGAATGAAAACCGAAGAACATAATGAACCGATTCTAGGCACGAGGGAACTGAGGAATGCCACGGAAACGCATATTCTGACTATTTATTATCAGGTACAACATAGCGCGTATCGACCCCGTCGGCCATTCTCGATTCGTCTGGACTGAACCTCTAAAGATAATCCCGACGGTTTAGACAGCTTGTTATGATTATTCCGGTAATCTGCGTAATGGTATAGTCGTCTTGTCTCCAGCTTCGTGACGTGAAAGATATTCGTAGCATGCATACAATTTGAGCGTGATCGTCCGATCCAATCGGACTCGTCGAATTAGTCTCGATTTTGTGTAGCTGAAACGAAGTTGAAAAGAGAAAAAGCCGACCTCGGTAGAGAAGCTATTTCGACAAGTCGTGCGATAAAATCGGAGGCGATGAATAAATAAAAAGGTGGGCGAAGCGATGGTCATAACCGGTCGGGAGTACGATGAACCATGGCATGGCGTCCTCGGAACGACAGAGCAATGGGACATTCCATTGGTGCGCGGCGTTAATTGCTGCCAGAAAGAAACTGTTCCCTTTTGTTGCTGCTTTCATCCAGAGCCAAGACTATTTGTAGGCTGTTCGTAAAAACAGAGGTGGAACCAAGGGTAGAACTAGATTTTTGACCATCGACACTCCTACGTTTCATGGGGCCTTATTATCGGGCCCAATTGCTGCCGCCGTAATCTTTCCCGTCTGTTCCAAAATGTTTTCAGCCTCGCCAAACTAGACCGCAGACTGGTTTTTGTTCAATTTAGAACCCCTATTGTTCAGCTTGGAATGAAAATAGAGAATCGAGCGGGGCCGTATCCTGGCCTTGGCTATTGCATAGAGAAACCCGAATGAGGCGGCGTATCAGCATTCTCCTATGCAACTGTATGTTATCCATATTGATCATATTTTTCTTGTTCTCTTTCTGAGATTCATGTACTTATTTCAGCCAACAGTTCCTTGAATACAATGCAATACATCTTCATCTTAAAAACGATAGTGAAATTGGTAATCGGACACCCTCTGTAGTCAATGTATAAAATGGTGAAACCTTTTTTCGTGATCAATAAATGATGGAATGAACTTGAAAACGTTTTTGAACCTTTAAAATCTACCGACTGCAGAGAGTTGGTAACTCGGTTATCGACTAGAGGAACCTGTCTTTCCATTACTTAACGATTGTACAAACTACCTGATCTGTAGCAGATTAGAGGTTCTTCTCAAAATGCGGCGGATGCGTCTCTCGCTTTTTTATTTGAATTATAATTTATCTAATGTTATTCCATTAACAATAGACTGAAAGCTAAGATAGGCGAAAAATTATAAACAAACATTGTAATTTCAGACGTGTTTTATTCAACCTCCTCTTTTAATCTCCTCTTTTATTATAAATAATATTCTTCTGCATAGAAGATAGGTAGCATAATTCTATATTTATTAAATTGAATAAAATTCGTTCAAACTGTATAGTCGTTACACACTGAAACATTAGCAGAAAAAAGTAACACAGCGGTTTAAAATATATCGGGGTTCTTTGAACCGATTAGAATAATGAAACAATTTTTATTCTATTCTTCTAACCCGGATGAGGATGAGTTAGTGACCGAATAATTTCATGGATACTTGCCCAGGGGACTGTCCGTTATACAGAAGCGCAACTTTAATTTTCTATGCGCGTAGTGCTGCAACTCGCAATCAGGCAAAGCCAATAAGCTCGTCAAAACTCAAAACGACGCAAAAAGGTGTGCCCGCGTTACGTGAGGTCAATGAATAAATAGCATTTACTAAGCCGACGAACGCTCTCGAAGAATTCTAAACGAAATCCTTAAAAAAAGGAAATGGATTTGGGACAGAAAAAAGGAAAACGAACGAAACTTCCCTGCAAATGCGGTAGCGAATTCAATTCTGGGTTTCCTACTTTTATACGAAATTACACAGATTCGATGCGCGCCTACTGTTTTGTACCAAGATGGTAGCGTGAAACACGTGGCGAATGAAATTGAAGATTACGGTGCATTCTCTAAGGAACGTCACGAAGATCAATGTTGCTCGTCTGATCGTGGAGGCAACCCCGCGCATTCCAGTCTGGTTTTACCATACCGAGAAAGAAGGAGGAGAAAGAAGAATAAAATGAAGGGTCGCAGCTGCGTACAGCAACGAGAGAGCGTTACTCAGGATTTGAGACCTGAGAGAACGATCGAGGCTGCTAAAGAAACTTCTCCACGAGATTCACATCTGTTAGACTTTCACGAGTTCGCAATTCCCTCAATTAATTATTATAATTGTACAAAATATTGTTCAATGACATTTGAAAAACATAATGCATTTTGTATATTTAAGAACAACTTGAAATAAATCTATAAACAACAGATTAAAGATTTGTTTCTTAATCACGTCTTAATCAAAATCATCCTGATACTTTTGAACCCACAAAATTTAAGGGATTTGGTCATTGTAATTGTGTTCTTCCAAAAACGTTCGTTTCCCTTTCGCAATGACAAGATCAAAAAACGTAGCGCAGGTGGAGAATCGACGACCGCACAGGTAGGACACGCTTCGATGCAGAAATCGCGGACAAGGGAGGCTGAGGAGAAAGAGGGAAAGAAGAAAGGTGAACCTTGAAGATGTATAAGGCCGCGAGCCAAGATGAAGGTTCCGAAAGAGCGGAGTCCTCAAAGGATCGGAAGGTAGGTCGAGGTAAAGTCAGCCGTAGAAGATGGGAAACTAAGAGGAGGAGGAACAAGGAGAAGAAGAAGGCAATACGTGTTTGAGGAGGAGAGCGATGTCAAAGTAGAGAAAGAGGAAACGGATTGAAGAAGGAAACTTGAGAGAAGAGAGGAGAAATCAGGATTTCAGTGGACGAACGGTAGAATCTAGCATGGTGGAAGCGAGCCACGGAGACGTGACGTATACACTCCAGAAGAGCATAGTATAGTCAGTATAGTGAACCATGGTGTGGCATGGGATAGTTAAAGTGGGAGAAACCGTGTATGACCGGCCTCAAACGTAAGCCAGTCCCGTGTGAACGACCGTGAAGAGTACCTCGATAAAACCTTCAGAGATTTCATTCTCTTTCCTTGAATTCATGTTTTAACTTCATCGATTAATCAAACCAATCTCTCGACCTTCAACAGGAATTATCATGCGAATCTTCGGTTGTAGATAGAATTAAATCGTGATCGTTAGTCCTAATAATTATTAGAAAGTCAGAAGGTCCTGTCAGCGAGTGCCGATTCTGTGCAAGGTCCATGGCACGCTTTAAACGGATTTATGGGATCGTGTAGTGTACGAGACATAAGTGTAACTTTGTGATACAAGGTGAGGTGACCGACGAAAATTGAGTAAATTGCATGAGAAAAGGTTGCAGAACTAGGATTCAGGATGTAAGAGAAAACTCCCATTAAGAATAGAACGTATGCTGTTGGAATAGACGAACATTGTATTCCAGTTTCGCGGACTTTGAACATTTCTAAAATCCGATTTCTAGTGAAACTTCCTGCGTAATAAGGACACGTCGCGTATCTTTGTACAGCGATCGGCCCGCATTGCGAGGTATGGTGAAACATTAATACCACGCGATACATGAAACCCCGAGAGAATTGGAGAGGAAGACTTCGAGGAAGAGGTGCAAAACTATAGTGAAAAGAAGGTGACGAATTGGCGGCATAAGCACATCGCATCGAGCAGTAAGGTTGACGCGTACACCGGACCTTACCGCGGCCAAGTAGGTCAACCGGCGTGCGCGAGAGTGCGAGACCGAATAAAAGACAAGAAAAAAACGGCAGCCGGTGGAAGGATAAGACGAGGAAAGGAAAGAATGGTGAGACGGGGGCATTAAAGTTTCCACGATGTCCGACGTTTTTACTCGGCATAGGTTCGCGATCCAAAATGGCGACGATCGGCTGGTATCGTGGCACGTTTTACGAAGATAAAGACTGGTCCAGCCAAGAGCACTCCTGAAGGATATCCTTCAAAGTGTCCTTGACATTAGCCTGGCCTTGATCAGGACAAGGTACACCTCTCGACCGCGCCGCGCCAAAGGAACCAGAATGGTAGGGCGCTTGGCGTCGAAGGTCCTACTGACCTTGTCGTTCCAAATTCTGTTAGGTAAGTAGATAAATCCTACTCACACCTCAGTACTCCTTAGTTAAGATCGAATAGTAGAATTTAAAATGCGAGAGTATGCCAGTACCATTAATTAAAGCTTCATGCACCTGTCTCTAATTAAACCGTGAGATTAGACTTCCCGTGAACGCGATATACAGTTCCTTTCAAATATAGTCCAATATTCCGATTGAGAAGATAATTCATGTTCTTCTTAATGAAAAAGTTCATATATTCTACTTGCTGTGCTTAGTGATTGATCGTCGAGTGTACACAGATCGTCTTGAAGATCGTCGCTAGCCGTAACACGATGCAAATACTCGACGAATTAATGCTTGAACCTGTTTGATGGGCTTTCGGTGCGGCCACGTGCGGTCGACTTTTAAACCGGTATCTTGACCTCTGTCGAAAATTTCATGACGTTCCAACGGCAAGATCGTGAAGACAAAAAGCGATACCTACACTGTCTTCAACGCTTTCAACCGGTCTACCATTAACGATCATTATCGCGAAATAATCTGCGATTTATATCCGAAACTGCCGTTTCTCCAATCAAGAAAGGAATTTTAATATGTCTCTCCTACGGATTCTGATTTGTTTTTAGAAATACTTTATTTAATAGAAAAAGATCATTAAACAACAACGGAAATCGATGATAGCCAATGATTTAGTATTTCTGTGTTGCGGATATGTAAGTAGGTGATATAAATCCGGTTCCACGTTTACGTCGAACACTAGCCGAGCGAAGTGTATAAACAATTTACTGTGAGAATCTAGCAAATGCAACGGCAAGCTCGGGCTAGAGTTAGGTTTACAACATGGAAAAAGGAAAACCAGAAGTTCGTCGACCCGCCGACAGCCAACGTGCTTATAAATATTTAAAACTGGAGTAAAGCTCGGGGTAATAAACTGTTCGCACGCACCGAGGAGTCATCGGTTTTTTTATTGAGCGCGTCGCGTTAATAAAGCTTAACTAATTGCGAGAGGGGAAAAAGATTAAATGAACGGAACCGCGGATTGTATCGCCTCGCAATTTTCAAAACGAAACACACGTCGCATTTGTCAAAGACGTCAAGAGGAGAAAGCTTCAAGCATGACGTGCATTCGCAACCTGGCACGTACCTCTTACTCGAGGACGATTTTCACATCTCGGACCCACATGACTGTTAGAAAGCGTCAATAAAAATGTATGCTTTCACAGTTTACCCAGCGATCATCAATTCTGTATGCCAAATTATACGAGCGAAAAATATATACGTGGAACTTGACGAAATAGGAAGTAGTATAATAATCATGTGAACCTAGGCAGTTCATTGACTCATGTAGGTGTGATTCGTTTGCCAAGGCTGAAAGGTAGCGAATGACTGAGATATTTCGTATACTTAAAAAATCCAATGTTCTTCCGTTGACGCCATCGATCCGACACGGTCCAAGGATCAGAATGTCCTTTGCTAATATTTGAGTGGCTCATTAATTTTCCCTGAACAGACACATCATACATTCAGTGTTAGTGGCAACTATTTTTTTTTATACGAACTCGTTTACGCAACGAGAGGAATTTGCATGAGACACCTACCGTCATCGGTAATGCGGATGAGCAACAGCACAAAGGAACGTATATCCGGCACAGAGTTTCGTCATTCGACTTTCGCCCAACCACGTTGTTTGTGAAAGTGTCACGAAACTGCGTCGCATGCGGTAGAACAGAAAGCAGATTGGTTTCTCATCCAAGATTCAATCTCTTGCAGTAAGAGCAACAAATTTTTTATAGTATTTGTTATAAAAATATCGTTTATTGTCATGTAGTATTATAATGAATAAACGTGAGTGATAAAGAAGGAGCGAAAATGATTTCGATTCTTTTATTTCTCTTACAACCACGTGTCGAAGGTCGAACGGTTGGTCCCACACCTGTCGAATCTCATATTCGAGGTACCAAATGTCACGTTTGCCAGCGAAAAGAATAAATATTGGGCTGGAATGATGTACCGTTAACTCTGCCGTTACCGCCTCGAGAGACAGTGCGTAGCTCTATGCTTCCACGAATAAACCCCTTCGACATTTCTTTCTTCTTGTTCGCAGTCGTGTTAGACGCTGTTCAAATTGCGTCACGGCATCAAACGATGCCACACGCGTCTTTAGGTACGCGTACGCATGTATATTAAATCCGCACGTTCCAACACGACTAGCGATTTCCTGTAGATGCATCACATTTATTGATTTTCTTTCTGCTCGGCTCTAAGCAATCAATAAAGCACCGTAATCGATTACTGCCGAAGGTAAGACGCATATCGTTTTCAGTCGACAAAAGAGGTATAGAACATGCGGAGGCTTTATTGGAAATGTGACACACTTATACTAAAAATGTACATTTACTCATTTTGCATATATTGTATATATGATTTAATTACGATTTAATTAATTCTGAAATCTGCAGTTGAAACTAGTTTCAGTATCATTAAGAGAATTCTTGTAATACAAGAGGTAGAACTGTGTTAACCCGTTACCTGGCGTAGTGCATGCTGTTTACCGTGAACTTCACGCGCGGATCTTGTAACACTTGCATTTTCTCGAAATTACTTTTGGCGAGCTCTTAAAAGCACCTTAAGGAACGCGAGTTCACGTTAATCGAAGTTTTCCCTTGTTCCCTGTTACGATCGCGTGAAACGCGCTAGGACGGATGAAAATGTTGGAGATGGTATCAATTAACGAAGTAAAAGTAGCTTAGTTGCAAAAAAGTAATTAAAGCGGAGAACGCTCCGCTAATTATTTCGGGCAATGACTTCGGGTGGTGATTACAGGCGCGAGAAAGAGAGAGAGAGAGAGAGAAGAACCTTGAGGCTGTTGAATGATTCAGGACAGTAAGGAGTTTCGAACTTGACCAAGAGACTGCATTCCGTTCATTGCGACAGGATCAACCATGCAATTCACCTACATTCTCGCGGGATCCCTATCCGTTACTCTCACGTTAGCAGTGTTATGGTGTATACGCGAACACCGTTATTCGTTCGCGGCATGCAAGTCGCGATTATAATTATTAATTCTACGACGCCGCGATCCAAATAGGAAACGAAAGTCCCGGGCAACGCGTACACGATCTAACTGGTTCGCGGATCAAATCTACCGGACAAAATATCAGCGATTAGAGTCACGCGATCTCGACAATGTAATCAATTAATTGACAGATCGGAAATAAGAAAAAACTGCCCTTGAAGCAATCACTATAATTACTATCGCGAACAAGTGTAACGCCACGTCAGACTGCCAATAGGATTTGACGTCGGTCTTTCAACACTCGTTCACTCGTTAAGATTAATAACAGCTTCATGATTTTCCTCAACGGTTAAAACTGTAATCTCGATGACGATAACGATAACGCATCATTTAGTACAATCGCTTATTACTATAATTTTTCCATTAGAAGTAGAAGAATTAAAATAGCATGAATCTAGGTATCCAATTTTAGATACTTTTTTCCAAAAACGAATTAATTTGATCTAAAAGATAATCGCCCTTCGCTATAATTTTTCCATTAGAAGTAGAAGAATTAAAGTAGCATGGATCTAAGGATCCAATTTTAGATACTTTTTTTTTCCAAAAACGAATTGATTTTATCTAAAAGATTCTTCTCGCTCGACGGCGTGTTTTTCTAACATTTTCATGAGAATCAAAGAAGGAACATCGAGAGCATGATGTTCGACGAGTAGAACGAAGTAGCGGCCAGCTTAATTGCCACTACAAACGAGCAACTGTTTGAAAATCGTGTCGCCTTGCACAGTGCCTAATGAGCAATTAGCAATGGAGGTTATCGCGGTCCACAGGAAATGAAAAACATTATTCATTCGAATTTTGTGATTGTTCGCCATCACTTCACGAGGTATAATACAATCCATTTATCGAAGACGATGTAATCGATAAATAGTCATAGCTTTCATGGGATTCGCAACGGTACATAATGGGTACTTAATTACCAACGAATATCTGTACGAATATAAATTACGGAGAAGTAGTTATGTACCGCAAAAATGAAATAACGAATGAATAAAAAGAATTAAATTTCAGTCGATTGACTGCTGCATCTGGCTTTACTCGTAGTCCGACCATTAATGAAACGAACAAGCCCCGTTAGATCGCCTTTTTTATTATCCCGTTAACGACAGAAACTGTCTCGGGGCTCGGTTATTCCTCGAAACAGTCGGTCAAAGACGGTGAAAGGTTTGAAAGGAAGGAAAAAGTCCGTAGGAAAATGATACTATAATATGCACACTTTCTATAAAACAAGAGCTGAACGTGTCGTTCGCGGGCTGATGACTCTCGACAAGAATCGAAACACGTCGCGGATTCGTGGCGTACACGATAGGAACGATTAATCATCTCGGTTAGTATTCCGAGGATATTTGGTACACCGATCGTTACTATCCAGCAGCGATAATCTATAACAGTGGAGCGGGAGTCGTAGTTTCACTTAAATTGCTTCGCGCGTCGTTGAATTGTTGCATAGAAATCTCCTATTGTTCCTGTCCCGTCTCTACCACAGAATTTCGATGCAACTTGCACCGAACGGAGCCGTAAAATCATCGCACACACGCGTTGCCAAACGGCGAACAGTAAAAGCGATTAAAGCACGGAAGTCAGAATGTAAAATCGGCCGAGGATAAAATCGTATACCGCGTCCGATTGCGTCATAAAACGCGTAATCAGCGAACGAAGATTAAAAGAAAGTTTACGAGATTAAATCGGTGGACACTGATATCGCGTATTTAATCGATTTTTGTCAGGAACCTATGAACCATCCGTGTCAATCAGCATTTTTTTGCCATCTCCCGTATGGACGATGGAACATGTGGGATGAGCTACGAGAATACCAAAGTACGAATCAGGAACGTGGAGAGACATAGTAGTAATTTTATACGTTCACGATTGGTCAAACCACTCGATACCGGCTTCGAGAATGTCAACCGTTCGAGTACCGTTTGCCTTCCCGTGGGTCGGCCACGGATCTTTTCGGTTTTTTGTTACTCGCGATCGCAACCCGTTCATGACTATCGACAGCGTGACGTTCCTCGTGATGAACCAGGTGATTTAAGCGTATACCTGATTGATTGAATGTCCACGGAAGCATAGAATCGCATATACGTTACCCTTTGAGCGATCATTCTTCCTCCGCATGAAGAACCGTGATTTTAATGAGGAATTTAGAACAGGATTTCAATTGCGCACAGGTGTCTCGGCTATCCAAAACGATCAAACTTCTTCTCGTTCATCTCGGGAAGACATAATCCTCAGCGCTAGCGCGTATACAGGACCAGAAAGAACGTCCAACGCGTTTCACCGTGATGGATCGCCAAGTTTCCAAAGAACTGTTCCTGCGTTCCAACTGGAAAGCTCGAAAAGCATTAATAACTACGATAAAGACGGTGTACGGTTCGAAGATGGAAACGACAGGCACGAGGAGCCTATCGATGAGCTAACTTCTTCGAAACATATCGATCATATGGACGGAAATAACATCGAGCCTTATGTCAATGAATATAACTTGTAAGTGAATTAACATTTTTTTTTAAGTATCTACATAAAATGTGGCGCTGAAGATAAACGGATAGACGAAAGGAATTTATTTTCCAATGGACAGGTTTTCACCGACGATCAGCGATTCCATGTCGGGGGAAGGACGAGGGGCTCCGCAGAGACCAAAACTCTTGTCGGAGCCCCAACTGGTTGGAGTGTCGAACCAACGGGCACAATATTCGCAGGCATTAGATCAACAAAGACGAGCACGTCAAGAGACCTCGAGGATCTATAGCCAGCATGCTCCACCGCCTATCCTGCAAACCGCGACTCCAGGACAACGGCAAGCAAATCCTGACATACAGGACATTATCACGGGTATTGTCAAGCTATTGAATGGAAACGTGAACGTTGCTGCCAATACGGTGAGACCTCTGAGGCCGATTCAAGCCACTAGGTACGACGATGTGCGAATTGCGTACGATCCACGATATCGTCCATTGTTTGCCTATAAACGTATAATGTCCTTTTCTAGAATCAACAACAGAGGACCGCCAAGAATTTCTGATGTCCCACCACTACCACCCGACTTCGACACCCCCGGAATGAATCCGCCGCCACCACCGGATCATCCTTATCCCTTCGAGAAACCACCGGCACCCGACAGACCGATGATCAATCAGTTGCCACCCGAAAGGCCAATTAGACCTTTTATGAATGGTATTCCTTTGCCAGAACAAATCGTTCCGCAATCGAATCGTCCATGGACGTGGAATCGACCAGGTAATTAAATTCATTAAGGCAATTAATTAAAGTCTTGTACCTAACGAATTTTCAAACTAGATTTTCTCGAAAATGACGCCCCGTATAAAAAAATTATATTTCTTGTTTTCGACTAGATTTTATATGAGGAATCATCCCCTTGTCGGTTGTACCACGATTTCGCAAACACCCTGTATATCCTTTTCTTAAATTTTTACTTATCGTTTTTATTCATTTTGCGCCTTCAGGTGGAAATAGACGACCAATACCTGCGTACAAACCGCTACCACCATCATCAGATTCCACTTTCAATCAAGAAAAAGAACAAGGAGACAAACATCTGGACAAACCTCAGATCGATCTGAAACCTGAACATTCATCGACGGAGGAATCTTCTACGAAAAAGGATGAAAACGAACCGAATGAAACTACCACGAACGCTGTAGTGAACGTAACCAAGAGTCACGAGGAGAGTAACAATCAAAAAGAAAAAGTTAATTCGAACACTACGGAAAAACCGATTATCGGAAATTCTACCAAAAACCCGGAGCCTGAAAAATCGACTAAAAAGGAAAATAAACACCAATCTCCATTCAAAGAAAATAAGATCAATAATGAAAACACGTCGACCCCAGCGATGGAAGCTAACGACACTAACAGAACGAACATTACGAAACATGAAGATTCTCCGAAACCTGTGATACCATTGGAAGTTCCAATAAAACCGACGAAAACGTCGAAAATCAGTGACTCTCAAAGGCCTACTTCAAGTACGAACAATGATAAGACTAGGAGTAAAGAAACTGTTTCCAAAACGTCGAGCAAATCCCGTCCTACGTCAACGTTGAATATCGAGACTAGTTCGTCGGTGCAAGTAATTGAACCAACGACGACAAGAACCATCGTACAATCAACTGCGATTCCTACGAGCAACGGCCAGAACAGTATCGGAAATGTATTGAGCACGATAGCTTTGGAGCCAAGTAAATCATCTAACTTGGAAACCACGGTCGCATCGAGTATTCCGACCCCGACAGAAAATTTGCCTTCGACTCTCCTGAAAACCTCATCGACCACGGAGAAAATTATAGCTCAGAGCCCGGTTTCTAATACGTTCTCCAAGAATTCAGGTAGATCGAGTTTTTTTTTCATTCGATAAGATAATATTGCATTCGATCTATAATGAATTTCTTCACGCGGCCTCGAGTATGCTTAATTAATTTCCTTTGTGGATACCGGTAAGCTGTCATGCTTAATTAATTTCCTTTGTAGCCCCGACGGATCGCTACGCTTACCGGCCCCGACCTGGGATTGTCCTTGACGATACCTTGGATTACACGGGAACCCAAGGGTTGGCTACTCAGCGACCTTACGCACCGCCGAGACATCCACCTCTCGGTGATATTTTTGATATCACGGTCTCAGCTATCCAAGGTCCTGGTGGTTCAGGAGGTTCAGGTACAAATATTGACTTGTGACACGAGATTTTTACTAATGATTCTAGACTCAATGACATTTGACTTCGCAGAAGGTGTTCGAGTACCGGTAAATGTACCAAACGCAGACGTGATTCTAACGTCCGCTGTGGAAGGAGAAGGGTTCGTAAGTATCGATGGAAAAAGGACGTACTTGAATCTATTCGAAAATTCCGATCGAACTTCGACGCACGTGCAAGCGCAACCTCAGCCGACGAAGACTCAACCACCAGCCATTGTGGGCACAGGGTAAGCATGTTTAAAAATTATAAATAAAAATGCAAGAATTTAAGTTTTTCGAACTTTCCTATACGTTAATTGTTTTATATAGATTCGCAATTGCACAGCCGGATCAACCGACGGCAAGTCCTCGACCTAGTGGGCCGATTCGAAGACCAACTTTCCACAGAAGGCCGACTCAACCCCCCGTTAGGATCGACACTTGCATTGTAGGCGACACGAGTACTTGTGACATCAGCCAACACGAGGCTTGCGCCACGGTTCAAGGTGTATCTGCCTGTCATTGTAAGCCAGGGTATGCCAGGCTACAGCATTCCTTGCCATGCAAAAGTTCGTGAAAAATGATTTTATATATGAAGGTCCGTAGTTTATTGACTACTGAATTATATCTCATCGAATTAAATTTTTTTCAGAAATTATTAGCATCGTAGTATCGATGAGAGTCGATAAAATTTACGATAAAAAAGTTGTCTGGGATCGAGGGTTCACGGACAAAGATTCTGAGCCTTATCAGACTCTGGCCTACGAAGCGACTCGAGCTGTTAGTTAACTCAATTTGTATATTTCTATTATTCAAACTGTACGGTCAATTAGGATAACATTTGTTCGTCTTCAGATGGAATCCGCTATGTCTATGACACCATTTTCGGATGAGTACATGGGTTCCTTCGTAAACGGAGTGTATCAAGGGGATGTGAGTCAAGGGCAAGGGGGAGTCTTTGTAAACGCAACTTTGAAACTCACTTACGAGCCGAGAACAGTTAGGCCAAGTTTAGCAGGAGAATTGCAGAGACATTTACTCGGCGTCATTCATCGAAGAAGCAACAATATAGGAAATAGCGCGCTCTACGTCGACAGTCCCGCGGGATCTATATCAAACTTACAAGGTGAGTGTAAATTGCGGAAATTAATTTCAATTATGAGTATCTCAGATTTTGAGTGTAAAAAGCGGAAATTAATTTCAATTATGAGTATCTCAGATTTTATAAAAAAAATGTATAATTTGCTTTTATTATAGACTTGGACGAATGTGCATCTTCAGAATTAAATGATTGCCATTCGTCGGCAGTTTGCACAAACAATTGGGGCGGATTTACTTGCACTTGTAATCCGGGATTAAAAGACCCTCATAAAGATGATCCTAATGAATCTGGTAGAAGTTGTATTTCGTGTCCCTCCACTTATTGTAATAACCGTGGATCCTGCTCCTACCAGGGCGATCACATGCAGTGCACGTAAGGCTACTGCATTACACTCACTCAATAATAAAAAGATTTTTCCAGACCTATGACTATCTTTATTTTATAGATGTACTGGAAATTATTATGGTGCTCAATGCGAGGTCGACGGAGAAGTTTTGGGAGTAGCTATAGGAGCGTCAGTAGCAGCTTTAATAATTATAGTTTTGACGTTAGTGTGTCTGGTCATGTGGAGGTAAAGTATAATTTCTATATGTATAGCTTCCTTTATGAAGGACAGTAAGGAATTTGAATCTTATGTGACGACAGTCGGAGATGGTCGCGCGAACAAAAATCAGTTGGCTCGCCAGTGTACGGTTATATTCAGGGTGGCATACCTGGGACCCTTCCAGGAACTCTGGCACGGGTCGGTTCTGTAGGTACTCTAGCTTCCGTGAAACAAGGACCGCCGACCAATTTACCACCCTACATGTGGGCACACTTTGGCGATCACATGGCAACTGCCAACGTATACGCTGTAAGTAGGAACAATAGTAGATTCTTATTTCTTTAATGCTGCAACTGGGAATAGGGGATCGCTTCCATTTTACCATACAAATTTAATTCGCCTATTGTCATTACGATTGAGCTAGAAAATCAAAGGGGCTATAGGATGGGAACATTCTATACATTTCGTTCGTAATACTTTTGGGATAAGAAGTATTACTGTCTGCCGGATTGATAAGGAGTATTTATTGTTTCTCGGTTGAGTTTAGACGGAGCCTATGGGTCCAACGAGGCCAAGCTCCGCGGTATTCGGATATCCGCCGCTTAGTGTTCACGGGACATTACCACCGGTACCATTGCCAAGACTTCAAGCTCCAATGAGGCCACGGCAGAGGCAGCAGCCAGATCCAGACAGCTCGGATTCCGAGCCGCAAGATAAAGACAGGGCTGATCTGATCCCGCAGAGTAGCGGTTTTCACGTTCCGAGGCCAAAGTCTCGGTCATCCTTGGCAGTGAGTTATCGCTTTTCCAATATGTCATTTGTCGCGCTTGACTACTCTGGACGCTCAGTGATGCATCTATTTCAGAATCAAAGCGGAATCTACAATGACGTGGAATACGACCAGGGTGACGTTCACCATTTATCGAAAAACAATATTCCGATGTCTACTTACAGACCGTACTATCGAACCTGAAATCCAGGGGAGAGTCTAGTTCTATTTCGATAAGGACGTTTGTAGCGCGACGCGAAAGAGACCAATGTTATTATTTAGATATTTTTATACGAAAGTGCAATTCGTACCAGTGGTTTAAACAAAACGAAGAGAATTTATCGTTGGACGAAGATAAAGAAATTAATGCACCTACGTATGTTCGTATCGTTGTTCGCATCGATGTAAGTCAGTTTGAACGTTGTTTAACTTGTAGTTACTTATTTGTTATACTGCGAATATTTATTGTTCTAACGATAGTAATTTAATACCGTGAAAAAAGTCTGACAAAAAATATACAGGCTGTAAAAAATTGCAAAACGAAAGGTGCATAATTAAGGATTAGTCTTGAAACGATTGCTCCTTCTAATTATTACTTAATGTATGTATCACTGCTATTTTCCTATTCTTGTTCAACGGTAAGCGTCGATGAAGATATAGGTCAGAATCACAGAATATTATCAATCTTTTTAAATGGTACTCTCCTATTTTGTATAATTTTACGATTACCATTTCCTGGATACTTATCACTGAACTGTTGAACAATGCGGCAATACCGCATCTAATATCACGAATGTTACACGAACTTAGAAGACGTCCTTATAATTAACGGGCTTATTTCTTCGATAAGTATGACATTTTCTCGCAGATCAAAGCAGAATGTAAGGATCAAAGGACAGTACATGTATAAAAAAAATACTCGATAATGCGTGCATCGCGGGATGTTAATACGATAATTCACTGAGTAACTTCTGTAATTATATATTATATATTTTTGCAAATTGAATACAATATACATTTGAAAATCCATGCGCTTCGTCGTTTCTCCCGTGATTCTTTTTATTCTCCTATACCTAAGGTACAATCTTCAACAAGTATAACCAGAACAAACGTACGCCGAATATACTGTGCGCATAATGAGCAAAACGTCAAAACCTTGTAATGGATAACTTTAACAAACACTAAGTATCACGTTAAAACACGGCGAACGGAAGGTAGAAAATCGATTGTACTGAAAAAAGTATCAATTCGATAATACAAACAGTTAACGATGATTGTTCGTACACATTCAGAGAACGAAAGATCATCGTCGCGTCGACAAACGTGTCGAAGGAAAGAAACAAAATTGAAATATAATACATAATTCGCTGAAAAATTAAGCTTCGATTACCATTTTTTTAAATATTCGCAACTTGTGTTTCGATTTGTTTTTTCACTGTAATGTTAACGATAGAGATGGCACCTGAACTTGAGGAAGAGAGAGGACTTTGGATAGCATACAACGATTTGTAAAGATTTAAAAAGTACGTCGATAAAATTCCAAAGCTGAGACAAACGGTGTGCATCATCCATTTATTATAATTGATTATAGACTCGAAAGACGAAGTTTCATAAAGAGAGGTTTTCTTTCCCCTTTTGTAATTCTGAGTGAACATGCGAATATTTTGATAAAAGGTTTATGTGGATTTCTCTTTTTTCTCGATCAAAATACATTATGTAAGTAAGTATATCGCAGAGTGACGATGACAAGAGAATACGTCACCAAACGTCGATACATTGTATAATTCAACATTCCCGACTAAACTCTTTTATCGGTGTATCGAAATTGATACAATATAATAATAATCATCGTCATAATATACATATAATAACGTTTTCTGATATATTTAGTAATGTCTTAAATTATAGAGAGATTAGGTCTTTTTTTAATTATTTTTCTCATTTTCTAGTTTGGTAATCGAAGATTATTATACTTTAAAAAAATCGGTCCCGAGTTTTCCACATACGATACAACGCCTGTATTTGTGTGAAAGCGACTTGACTATTCAAAGATCATCGATCATACTCGTCGGTAGAACGACATATACTCGGTGACTGAGTGTTTCGTAGTCGCAGATACAGTTGTTCATAAATAGGTATGCATATAGTAACATGATATTCGTGAATCGGAGGAAAACACATGTCGATGATAGAGATAAAGAGATCAAGTGAATGATTCTGGAAGGCAAAGAGTGGACGAACTCTTAAACTATCGACGTGACCGTCGGTTCTTCATTATTTTAGATGATTACTGTTTTATATGATCGATGAACCGACGGCTGGTCTGCGTCCGCTTGTCGATCAAGTTTTTTCATCATGCAATAGCGTTCCACGTCATAACGAGAAGTTCAACAATAACATCTACCAGCACCTATGTTAGTCTCAGTGCCATCGCGAAGTTATTCTCAATAGAATCGTAATAATTTGTATGTAAATACAAGTCTGCGTTTTCAAAGTTTGTTTAAGACGAACCACTTTAGAGTAGTTTAATTGATGAGTTAAATTGAAGATATTAAGAAAGTGGAAAGCGGCGAAGAAACTCATTGCGCACGCAAATGAAGTGCCTGCACTCATTTCTGAAAGATTCTAAAGTTTCAAGATTTCGTTGTTAAAATTCTTTATCCGAAATCTAAATGGAGACATATTATGGATATTCGTTGACTCGAATACGATCTTTCGATGTTGGCAATTGGTCGTGCAGTACATGCAATCTCGTGTTACATACATACATCCATATCCGAATTATAAGTCCTGCTTTTCTTTTACGAATACTATCGAGAAAATTGGATGTCAACAAGCGAACGCATAGTGATTGAGAATCGGTTTTGTAGTATAAACAGTAGACAAGTATAGCGTTAGGTATTCAAAGTAGAAAGTGTAAAGTATCACAAGAATTACAATAATCGTAATAATTACGATATCTCGCGAAGATCAAATTCTTACTATATCGATCGCACAATAATAATAAGCGCTTTAGCCACGTCTGTGCATTTGGACGCGCACTACTAGATATATATTCATCGAAGTGATTATATCTCCTCGAATTCTTTTTTTTCTGTGTGTCTGGAAATTGTCCGTAAATAGATCAGTCTTTGACACAATTATAACAGTAATACCACCGATAGAGCAAAGCCGTGACAAAGATCTTATGCATTGTGGTAAACGTATAAGAGAAGCCGAGAAAACACTCATGTAACCACGACTCAAAACTTGGAATACGGTCGATAGTTAACGTGTTGCGCACGACGGAGACGAGGGTCTCCGCAAGGCTCTGTAAAAAAGGCTTTTAAAAAGAGGGAAACAAACATATCAGCATAGCCTAGAAATACAACAAGCAAATAGTTATCGAGACTATTGGGAAAAGCAGCACAGCACGATCGTTATTCACACATGATAAGCCAAATCACTCGACTGTAAAGTTGCGTACCGGTATATAAACAATCTCTCTTTTTTTACTTTTTTCTACCGATACACCTAACAAGGGGAACACCACACGTCCTTGGGAAAACGATATTCCATAACGATTGTATTACCCGTACGTCCTATCTGTATAAAATTATATGTGTCATGCCCGACAGGCTGTTCTTATTACGATACCCACCCCCAATGATACTATTGTCAAAGGAAAATGGTTTTTCCAAAAATATGAGTTCCCCTTTAAATTTCGATTTATTCTTAATGGAATAAAAATATACAAATAAATAATAAATAATAAATAACAATTTTGTCACTAAGTTTAATGTAAGTGACCAATAATAAAAATGTGCCATCGAAATGCCTTGCAATTGAATTCGATAAACACAAGAGAAAAAAAGGACGTGCGACACATTTACATCGGGAATTGCGTAAAAATGGCATGTATAAAAGTTGGGATTGTTCATTGAAACAACGAGTGGTTCCAATTTAGCTATTGCAAAAACCTGACTTGAACAATTAGCAACAATTATGTGACTGACATTATTATCGAATTTTTATCCAATGATTCAATTCGCAAAAAATACATGCATCTAACCAATTCCCTTAGGCCATACACTGATTTTTTTTTTTTGATAATTGGAAATTGAAGCAAACGATCATCTTTACCCTGGCGCAACTTACTTAGCGGTTTGCTTATGTCGGCGTCGGTTGCGGTTGAGGCTTACGGTTAGCCGTTGCATTCGCATGCGGCCTATGAAATCGTTCGAACAATTGTTCTAAAGTCAATATAACCCCAAACCCGGTCCCCGGGTCCATGTTAATAAAGGAATCCAAGTTGTCCTTGGAAGCTGGAATGTTTGCAAAAACGAGAAATCTATGTGTAGTACTAAACGTAAAGAGGCAGAGACAGAGGTGGGGGTGGCGGAGGAGAAGGGACACAGATTCCTTCAGTTTACGCAAACTAAATTATCCTTTCTTAATCTAGTCGATAAACGTACTTGGTGTCGAAATTGGTGGATAATCCGGTGGCGTTTTAATCCATGTGCCATCGTCACGTTTCATGTGATGCCGATCGGACGCGAATTCTCGTAAATACACGTTGGCCGGAACCACTCTGAATCTTCGATGATGCTCCGGCTGTAGCGCTTCGTCTGATCTAAACGTTTCCATCGCGTATTTCCAGAAATGCGTCGGAAATGGTAATGCGCTATCTAAATCGTATACGACGGCCCTTTCGTCTGGTGCGTAGATAAGTACTACGTGGTAGTCCTATGGATACAAAGAGTAACGTTTTTGCTTTTCCCGGTGCTAGTTCTTTCATCGCAAAACAGATTTAGAGAAAAGCAGAAGTCGTGTCTTCATCAACATTTTAATTGGTGTTATTTTTTTTTTGTCTCAACTGACCCAAAGTACGAGTTTGTCTTCATCCTTTCCGGCTCGCTGTCGCCAAAGCGGTACGCTCCGCCAGGAGTTGCTCACGAATGCAACATAGCAATGCTGCAATTCCAATGCGTGTCTGGTTGCTACATCCTGACAGAGCTTCCACACATTTTCCTCGCTAGAATAACACAGTTTGTTCTTGCAGACGAACAGTGTTTCCTCGAGGTGTCGGACACACGTTTCAATACATATGGAAAGTATGATGCAACACAGTGCAACATGAATCCATATTACAAAACAGGAAAGAAAAAAGAAGAAGAAAATGATGACACAGAGTTGCACGTTTCAATCGCGAAGAAGGAGAGAGATAGGGCAGTGCACAAAAACAGAAAGGTGCGTGTGCTATCCGTTCGAATGTTCGTGAAACGTATGCAAGCAAATGCGAACGTAAACAGTGCATAGAATACTATGAAACACGGATTATGATAAATCGCATGACTAATAAAACGTCGATTATACGCAAAGCTCTATGAGGTAGAGAATGGAAATGGGGCTGTCGGATATATGCCAAGGGTGATTAACATACGTTGCCGGTGCGTTGCGCATTTTATCATAGAATAAAAATTGTCGATTCGTGCGAACCTTGAAGTACGATAAACTACGTATTGTTACTGACAGCGGTCTTATTTGACTTGTCTGTCAACGTGCATGCATTATTAATCAGAGGGGCGCTTTATAAGACGACTCGCTAGACCTCCGCTGACCGGAGATAACTAAATCCTGTAATTCGGTCAATAAGCAGGATAAGGGAAAACGCGCGGGTCTTTTTAAAGCAGAGTAGACGGTGCATCGTGATTCATAGGCATTTCATATATACTTCAAAGATGGCGGCAGCATATCGCACTGCCGTCTCTCTGCATTACTGCAACGTATCGATCCGTCGCGGGATATACCGCAATACGACAAGTTTATTTGTTTAAATCAATAATTTCAGTCGCTAGAAAAGTCGAACGATTCTCGGTTGACACCACTTACCAATAGCAACTCGTATACACGCACTCTGATGCTTTCGGAAAAAGCTGCAACAGCGGCTTCATATGCCCGGTCTCACGAGGCTCCCCGGCCATTCTTTGTTTACAAACTCAGACGAACTACGCGAATCGACGAATTAATTGTATAACGAGTCAAATTGTTAAAATGTATGCGATTTCTGAACCGAACTATACGCGGACATCGTTACTGACCGGTCTGATCAGCTTGTCGACACTTCAAAACGAATCCGTGCATCCAACCACCCGGAACAGCATTGTTTGACTACCGACCGTCGCTGCTGCTCTATGTGGCCTTCCGATATCTGACTAGCACCTAGCACCTGGGTCGCTACAGCAACACGCACGCGCTAAACCAGTCGATTCAAATCACTAAAATTACGCCAAGGGATATTAGAAAAATATATTTTGAAAATTACTCCCTGCGATGCACGCTTATTTTACGAATTATATATTTTTTTCATGCTGTTGCTCGCTCCTTATATAATTTTACAATCTCGGTCTTCATCCCTGACACTGTAAGTTTCGCCTTAATTTACATACTTCTACCTGATTATAAGAACGTCAGAATAATGTAAATCAGTAAACGTCGTACCATATACGATTATGCGTAATTTGTTACAACTGCGATGCGTGAGACAAGTTCGTATAGTTTTACAAAATATAAACCCAGAAGATTTGTCTACTAATCGAAATTTACAAGACATCGTGTACATTATAAAAATCTAATAATTAAACGTAATTATATGCATTTGCAATGTTGCTCGATATCTTTATACATTTAATTATGTCGCTTGCGCATCGAGAGGGTTCGTTCGAAATCGATTAAGCGCAACACGTCTAAAGTTAGTAAAGTCAAGACTGGCCATGAACTTTGAATATCGTGGAATAATATCACGTGCGTCATAACAACGTGAAAGCACGTTATCGTGTTCGCAACAGAGAGATTTGTCAACTTTAAACTGGTTAACCGGCTCCTAGCTCACTCTGTGACTTCGAATGTTATTCAATTTTTGTACACACACTTGTGCGAAAAATGGCAATAAATGCTGCCAAAGCTGTTTTAAAACCAGGGAAGACTGTTCTACTAATATGTGACTTCCAAGAGGGATTCTCCAAAGTTATGTACGAATACGATAAAGTTGTACAGAATGCCGCAAAATTGGTAAATATTCATACTATAATTATATTAATACTATAATCATGTAGAATATGAATGAA